GGTTTTGTTATCTTTACCAATTGACCAACTTGACAACGAAAAATGACCCCAGACTGACGAACGATGATCAAGTTAGTAAACTTTGTTTTGATACCAGCCAGGGCAGATGTACTATTACTACCTTTGTTATTTGGTTTAGTGATTGATCTTCATTGTTATTTTGACTTTCAATATGTCCTCCTTTTAACTTGACCTAAGTAGTCAAGTCTATTTTCTCACCCACCTCTTAACTCTTTGTTATATATATATGCTGAGTGGATTTTGTAAATTCTGGTTTAATAATACTGCTTTGATAAAGCTGTTAGCAGCAGCAGCATTAAATAGCGAAACGTCGTCAGTAAAAACGGCAATATCGTTTTGCTCTTTTTCATTCATTGGGAAATATAAGAAAACCTTTATTATAGTGAATATCATATACCATCGAATGCCCAAATATTTTCAAACTGTTAAAAAGGGAACTTGGTTTGGACATATATAGAATAGTGACACAATTTAAAGGCAGAATAATCGACTATGATCAACCGATAGGCACCCAGTTCACACCAGCCTACTGCTAGCACATTTGTTCAACAAATTAACTAATTGATTTGTTGTAATACACGTGGTTATTTAATGTATATATGTATATATATATGTATATATATATATATAAGACAGATTCAGCGAAGAAAATTTTCTTTATCGACGAAATCATCTTCAGAGGCTGTAGAATCGTATTTATACTTACAAAAATATATAGTGGTCTATTATTGAGTAATAGGGGGTGACATAATTGATATAATTACTCAGAAGTGGCTTTAGAAGTGAAAATTAGAAGTTGAAAATTAGGTGGTACTCGACGACAAAAAGATAGAAATTTGATAAGGTTAAAATTGCAATAAAGTGAGAATAAAGGTATTTGAGTGTCAATTTACCAAGTGTGAAGAGGGTGTGAAAATGTATAACAGGGAACATATGAGTGTGATAATAGTGAATTAATTATTAAAGCAAAAGCAAACTAAAAGTAAAATGAAAAGAAAAAATCAAAATATATTTTATTTACAAAGAACGATTAGTGAAGAGGTTAAGACCAAGGTAGAATAAGAGACTGGACAAACGTTATCTGTATACAGAGTTCAGGGTTGTATTGATGAATTGCTAGAGCCCCCGCCATACACAAAAGCCGAAACCTGACGCCCTTTGTACCATTTGGCTTCACTTTGTATATGATCTTGAAAGACGATTCTGGTGGAGCTACGTGGCCTGAGTTCACCAAATGCTGAAGAATTGAGCTAGTAATTGTCTTGCATTGTCCTTTTCTTAACCATGCCGGGTAATGTTCAGAGATGCGTCTGGATTCTTTCAGGCTTTTCCCTTAGCTTCATGTTTTTCTCGATAAATCTTGGAGGATATCCATTCTCTATGAGGACTTGTCTGAGTCGCCCCAGTTCTCCAACGATTGTATCACTTGAACATATCCTCCTTATTCTTGAGGATAAGGAATGGATCAGATTTCTGTTTCTTCTCAAAGGGACCCAGCTGTGGAAATTTGTGTACTGACCATTCCATGTTGGTTTCCTGTAGATCGATCTTTGAAGAGAACCATCAGATCTCCTCTTTAGAAAAACATCCAAAAAATGGAATTCCGAGTTAATCTCTGATTCCGACGTGAACTTGATGGCATGATGACAGCTGTTGTATATTTTCACACCCTCTTCACACTTGTTAAATTGACACTCAACTACCACCTTTATTCTCACTTAATAGCAATTTTAACCTTATCAAATTTCTATCTTTTTGCCGTTGAGTACCACGTAATTTTCAACTTCTAATTTTCACTTCTAAAGCCACTTCTGAGTAATTATATCAATTATGTCACCCCCTATTACTCAATAATAGACCATTATATATTTTTGTAAGTATAAATACGATTGTACAGCCTCTGAAGATGATTTCGTCGATAAAGAAAATTTTCTTCGCTGAATCCGTCTTTTATTTTCTTCATGACTTAATGGGTATTTTCGGTGATATGTATATTATATAACTTCAGCGTCCAATGAACTGGTCTTATAGCCAACTGGATACATTTAATAAACATCAGTCACTACTGCCTAATACCTACAACAAAAATGAATGTTAGAATTTAATTGGTGGACGGTGACTAGCAGTGGGAATCCATTCCAGGATAACGCGCATTTCCTCCGTCCTATTTGGTACTCGTCCGCCAGCTAGTGGATGTACCTGCATTCCCCAGTCAGTGAGTGAGTGATGATGATGTTCCCACCACGGAGGCTCGAACCCAGTGCCCATAGTTTCAAACACCAGTAGCCAAAGCGTTATCCACTAGACCACTTGGGCCACGAGAGCCACAGTCTCTTGTGCAACGGGTCATATTAATTATTGAATTGAATTTTTTAGGTTTTCCTGTCGATTGACTTGACCGAAATGCCGACATGTCAACCTGAGTCCAATCAATCGACGGAAAAATCTAAAAAAAATTTAATATATATGTATGTTTTCTATAGTTTGGTTTGTAAGTATTAGTTATGTTTTACGAGTTGATTACGGACTGTTATCAGTTAGAGAATTATTGAAAACCAGCACCGGAGTACTGGACAGCTGCTGTTTCATCCTAGTTTGGGAATCATCGGCAGTACACACCCACTGGGATTCAAACCCAGGACCTTCCGGATACAAGCCAAGCTCGTATACCATTCAGCCACTGGGACCCGATTCAATGACTCATGAATTCTAACTTCTACCAATTCGTCATTTTAGCGCGACCCCAACTATTGTTGTTGGTGGGACATCCATCCACACACGTGACTTCTAATTGGACCTCACTGGTCACGACTTCTCACTAGAGTATCACATGCTCGCTAGTGACTTGCTACAGGTTGGAGCTTCCTGAAGTTCTAGTGAGAAGTCGTGACCAGTGAGGTCCAATTAGAAGTCACGTGTTTGGATGGATGTCCCACCAACAACAATAGTTGGGGTCGCGCTAAAATGACGAATTGGTAGAAGTTAGAATTCATGAGCCATTGAATTGGGTCCCAGTGGCTGAATGGTATACGAGCTTGCCTTGTAACCGGAAGGTCCTGGGTTCGAATCCCAGTGGGTGCGTACTGCCGATGATTCCCAAACTAGGATGAAACAGCAGCTGTCCAGTACTCCGGTGCTGGTTTTCAATGGTTCTCTAACTGATATCAGTCCGTAATCAACTCGTAAAATATATATATGTAAAAATAAGAACAAATTAGTTCAGCGAAGAGTCTCTTTTCGGCGAATTCATTCACTTAGCTGTACAGTCGCAAATATATATGCAATTGATTTTGTGTGTGTGTACATTAGGTTTGTCAAAATCAAAATCAAAATAACAGTTAGTGTGGGTTGTTGATTACATCATCAAAATAATTAAGAAATTAAAATGTGTGACTAATAATCAAAGTTGTAACTAAGTGGGGTGAAGATTGGTAAGATGTGAGTAGGGTTACGTAATATAGACATGTTTAGAAAGATTAGATGTTAGTGAAGGAGTATGGAGACAATTATTTTGATGATGTAATCAACAACCCACACTAACTATTATTTTGATTTTGACAAACCTAATGTACACACACGCACACAAAATTAATTGTATATATGGCAAAGTTAAACTTTCGACACCAGTAAAAACCAATCAGCAAACGACCTTGAACGGACCAATCACATGAAAGAGGCGTTTATTATAAGCGGAAAGGTATATTTAAAGAAAAATACATAAGAAAATGATAAAACGGCTACAATGGGTATCTCTCCCGAACATGGGAGAGAAACATTTCCCAATTCAGCATGGGACTGTCAATAGAGAAGTCGCACCACATTCTCTACATATATTCATCTAAATGACTATAAATGAGATCCTTTTGAGATCCATTTATAACCCTTATTCTATTTTTCAGTCGACCCCAAAATCCTTCAGTGAAACTTTTATGAGGCATTGTAACTGGATCCCCGAAATCACTGGAGTAGTTCACTCTGTGATGCATGTATCCCAGGGATGACAACAAATCATAGCCTTTCCAATCGTCGGTACGTACAATTGATCCCGGTTTCACAAGTCGCTTTGTAATAGGTACCAGAGTAGTCGCCATCCTGTCTGCTATTCTTTCAACAAATACTTTTCGGAGGGACGTGTCGTATGAACCTATGGCCCAAATATTGTTCGCTCTCTGACGACCGCGGTTGTATTTCTTCTTCACCAACATTGTCTCATCCACATGGACTACTACGTCGTCCCTGCTTAACAACGAAGTAATTCTGTCCATTCTCCATGAGGCGAGTCTCTGCAGTGCTGGTACCACTGAACTGTTGAGACGAGGCTGTTCTCCGTCTCGGCAGCAGAGGCTCTCACGGGCTGTTTCAGTACCCAGTAATTGCAAATGTACCAAATCTGGGTTAGAGAGACATGCGACCTAGCAAAAGCAGTTCCTAAGAAATATTACCCTCTCTAACACTAATTCGCTTCCAGCAAATTCCACAACGATGTACAAAACCATCAGTTGACCTAGTATAGCTTTTTAGAGTCATTACACCACCACACGAACAACTTCTCTCCTTTCCAAGCAAGCCTAAGTCCAGGAAATACTGAAAGACACTATCCTCCTCGAATTGCAAATGTAACATTGTAAGGGCACGCATTGAAATGAGTCAAGCGCTATACAACATTGAACTACGTTCGTGAAGCCCATTGGATAATTCGACGTCGTTCGCTGACTGGTAGTTATTGGTGTCTAAAGTTTAACTTGGCCGTATATATTTGCGACTGTACAGCTAAGTGAATTCGTCGAAAAGAGACTCTTCACTGAACTAATTTGTTCTTATTTCAATGTCTTAATGGGTATTTTTCGCGAATTAAAAATATGTAAAAATGTTGATAACAGACACTTTATTCTCATGTTCATTCAATCAATCTGTATAGGCGTTTTTGATAGTCATTCCAGTAAAACACTCTACCTATCCTTTGTTACTTGAAATCATAGAATACGAAATAAGCGAAGCCCCCTCAGTGTATAGATATATATACATATGCATATACTTGGTATATGTTGCAAAGTTCAGTGGAACACAAAAATCTAATGAAAACCATTACATTGAAAATGTAAGTTGATTGCTTAGAGTAGTGTCGATAGTGTTGTCTAACGCTTGTCTAACACCGGCGTTTATTTTCGTGTGTTTGTTTGCTTGTTTTAGTGTGTTAGTTTTAACGCATTACTCAAAATCGAGTCTGTCTTTTTTTCTGTTTAGTTTTTTGAGTGTTTTTCTTTTTCAACTGCCATTTCAGTTGGTTGGTAATTCAAAAGTTGAACTGACTGAAGGTACTGATAGATTAAGCTTCAGTTTTTGGAGTATAGATAGTTGTGTAACAGCAGAAGACAAGGGCCACTCAGCAAATCGTTTATTAAGGAAATCAACAGATATTTATCGATTGTTAGCAGACAAACACAGTCTTCTGATTGGTTGTTTCTTTTTGTGGCTGTTTCTTGAAGGTCAGATCATCTATCTATCTGCTAATTGTATCCGCCTACGCAAATAAAGTGTGCTGTGATTGGTTGTTGGTTGAATCAGTCAGACTTTGTTCTTGTTTTCTTTTCTCATGACCAATAATATTTGGGACATAAACATTGATGTAAATTACTGTCTACCAATTTGGCTAGCAGACAGCTCTCACCACAGTTTCAGCGAGGGATTTTATCACGAACTGCTGTCAGTTATTGAATCATTGAGAAGCAGACAGCACACTGGACAATTGTTTCGGCCTATTGTGAGACTCTCTTCAGCAGTGCGCACTATTGACTCAGCTAGGCAAAGAACTTAGGATCTTCATGTTACGAGACCAGTCCGCTGACTTGTTTCATCTGCTTGATTAGAGCCAAATAATCTATGATTCCTAAATTCCTACGAGTTGATCACAGATTGATATCAGTTAGAGAACCATTGAAAACCAGCCACAGGGAGTACTGGACAGCCAGCTGTTTCATCAGCCTAGTTTGGGAATCATCGGCAGTACGCACCCACCACTGCACCGGGGTTCGAACCCTGGACCTTCCGGTTACAAGGCCAGCAAGCTGGCTCGTATACCATTCAGCCACTCACCAGGACCCGATTCAATTGCTCAGGAATTCTAACTTCTACCAATTCGTGATTTAGCGCGACACTAACCAAACTAGGCTGATGAAACAGCTGGCTGTCCAGTACTCCCTGTGGCTGGTTTTCAATGCTTCTCTAACTGATATCAATCCATGATCAACTTGCAAAATCATAACTAAACCTTACAAACCAAACTATAGAAAATTCCTAAATTCTGACAATTCGTAAGATAGAATCACAGTATCCTAAAGCCATTGGTGAGAATCTACCTCATCGTGACATGGTTGACGTCATTGATCATGACTTTTCAGCAGAACTTTAAGTCATCAATCTAGTACCGAAGATTGATATTCAGATTTTGACCACTTGAAGGTGAGGTGGAAGCTCATCAATCACTGAGTTCGGTGGACAATGGTTATTATTATATTATTGTTCCCTTGGGTTCCTAGTGGAACATAGGGCTTCAACTGCACGTCTCCACTTGCTTCTGTCTTCTGCTGTATTTTTCACTTGCATCCATGTTAATCCATACTGTTTCAACTCCTCTTCACACGATCTCCTCCATGTCACCCTTGGACGTCCCACTACTCGCTGCTTCCCTTTCGGGTTCCACTCGAGAGATGGCCTGACGCGCGATGTCACCGCAGCGGCCTCCTCAGCGAGTGTCCAATCCATCTCCACTTTCTCCTGCATATTTGTTGAGCGATTGGTTCTTGTTTCGTTTGTTTGTTCCCATAGTTTCTTGTTGGTTCTTGTTCTTTCCAGGCCATCTGATCTTCAGTATAGAGCGAAGACAGTTGTTGTTGTTGATAAAGGTCTGCAACAGGCTGTTGGAAATATTCTTTGTAACCCGCCAAGTTTCTGATCCGTACAGAAGAACTGACTACTTGACGTTTGTATTGAAAATCCAATTTTTGTTGTTGAGTGTGGCTGAGTGACGAAGATTTCCAGATTGGTTTCAGGTTGATGAATGTGTTTCTCGCCTTCCCGATTCTCGATTTGACATCCTCGTCCGTTCCTCCTGTAGTTGAGACAATGCTCCCTAGATAAGTGAATGAAGTAACCTCTTTCAAATCCCTCCCGTTGATGATGATTGGCGCTGGATGTTACTGCTGCTGTTGTTGTTGTTTGGTTGGTTGGTTATTTTCATAACCTCCGTCTTGTCTATGTTCATCACCTGGAGTCCTGTCTTGGCTGCTTCTTCGACCAGTTTGTCGGTTTTCGCTTGTAAGTCTTCGATTTTGTGTGACATCAAACATAAATCATCCACGCGCGAAATCCAGGTCTTCTAGGTTGTTCACGTCGGTCCAGGATATCCCTGTCTTCTCGTTTCCCACTGTCTGACGACGCATAATCCAGTCCACCACAATTAGGAATATCATTGGTGATAATAAGCACCCTTGTCTGACTCCTGTGTTTACTCCAAACGCTTCGCTGAGTTTTCCGTTGTGGATCACTTGATATGTGCCGTTGTCGTACATGGATAATGGTTAGATATCGCAAATTGGAAGAATTTCGAATTCACGGTCATTCAGTAAAACTTAGGTGGATGGATGAGGTGTCAACGGGTTGGTCTCATAATTTGAAAGTCCTAAGTTCGATACAGACACACACACGCACACGCATCAAATTGATATACGCAGTTTGAAGTGTCGAGGATTGACGACTGGTCCTGAGTGTGTTTTTGCGGAAACAAATACATAGGTCATACAGAAAGGCGATTGTCTACTCATGGCATGATGGAGCATTTGCCAAAAATGGTTGAAAAAAACAACTGAAGTCGAAGTTCCTTAACAAAAAGCACCTTGTTGACTACGGACATGATATCGACTCTGTCAAGTTATTCACAGTTATCATGAGACAAAGAAACAGGAAGATGCTTGAAATTCAAGAGGAGACTTGTGCAATTTGAGCTAATAAACTTTGGTCTCTTTGTACAAAACGAGATGGTCTTCACTCTGAATCTACCATGGTAGTATGTTATTATTGTTATTATTATTATAACCATTACTACTAATATTACTCTGTTTGCAATTCTTGTTATATTCTCTAATGACTAATTGTTTATCTAAGTGACGTGTAATTGAAACGTAATGCATTTTATCTTAATTTTGATCTCTCAAACTCCCTTTCCCCACTTATCTAATTGAAAATGATCTGGAAAACATTCGCACCTGTCTTTCTGTATGAGTAATTCAATGTTGTTTATTTGCTTACTTATCAGTCTTATATTTCACAATGTTATTGCAAAAGAATATATATATCCGTGTATGTAGAGTACTCAGCAGCTGACGAGTTCTACCGAAATTCGATGAATCCATCATTAAATCATCATCCTGCTTTATTACCACATTTGTTACTTGTTTCAAATTAATATCATTAAATGCAGCTAATATAAAACTTAACATTAATGAACAACGTCCCAAATGGCGATATCAGAATCCTGATGGGTGAAATGAATGTGAAACTGGGAGGAAACAATGCAGGAAGAGAACTCATCATGGGTCATGAGGCCCTCGGTGAAATGAATGACAATGGTGAAACGTGGCGGGTCACAAAGAATATTTCCAACAGCCTGTTGCAGACCTTTATCAACAACAACAACTGTCTTCGCTCTATAATGAAGATCAGATGGCCACCGGAAAGAACAAGAACCAACAAGAAACTATGGGAACAAACGAACGAAACAAGAACCAATCACCCAACAAATATGCAGGAGAAAGTGGAGATGGATTGGACACTCGCTGAGGAGGCCGCTAGGTGGCATCGCGTGTCAGGCCATCCCTCGAGTGGAACGCGAAAAGGAAGCGGTGAGTGGGTCGTGTCTCCAAAGGTGATATGGAGGGGATGGTATGACGAAGAGTTGAAACAGTATGGACTAACATGGATGGAGGTGAGAAGTAAAGCAGAAGACAGAAGCAGCAAGTGGAGACGTGCAGTTGAAGCCCTATGTTTCACCAGGAACCCAAGGGAACAATAATAATAATAGAAACTTCATTGTCTTATCACATCATGTGAGCACACAGCAGAGAAGTAAAGAAAAAACAAAAACTAGCGTTGTAATGTACTCCTAATGTAAAGTGGTGTTTAAATGAGTTTAAATATGGGAACCCTTACTTGTGTCACCTGAAATATTAATGATAAGATCAGGTGGTCAGCTGTAACATATTTATGGCATATTTATCCTTCTCATCTGTCAAACAGTGGCACATCCCCCATCAGTAATAAAATTTTAAGCAAAAATACAGAATCTGTAAATTAATCAAAAATCTCAGGCAATTAAATAAATTTAAAACAATTAATTCCATTTATGAATTGAGATAAAGCAGCAATAAGAAGACGTAATTTGTCTGAATCGTGTGTAGTGTGCATTTGCGCAACATCTCTGATCCAGCACCCAGGGAATTGTCATAGGAGTACATAAAGAGTTAAGAGGTGGGTGAGAAAATAGACTACTTAGGTCAAGTTAAAAGGAGGATATATTGAAGGTCAAAATAACAATGAAGATCAATCACTAAACCAAATAGCAGAGGTAATAGTATATCTACCCTGGCTGGTATCAAAACAAAGTTTACCAAAAAGGAAAGTAGGTTTAGTGTGATGATGAATTGTTGCTTTGAACGCATAAAAGGGCGTTAAACTTCCTAACTGCCAGCTACGGCTAGCTTCCACAAACTTAAGGATACGCCCTCAACAAAACACACTTCTATAGATAGGTTTAAAAGATCTGGTAACGTCAATTTTATGTCCTGTCTCCTCTGTAATATGTTTCGCAATGGAAGAGCTAGCTAGGTCTCCTGTTCTCACCATTAATGTGTTCTGGAGATGCTGTTTGCTTCTGGAGCCATTTAGGAATATGCTCTGAAGCCAGCCAGCCCTTACTTGCAGAGATCCACGAGTCCTCCCTATGCATATGTGTGTGGCCATACGTACATTCAAACTGTTAAATACAGTGGGATGTCACATCATTTTTCTCATGTTCGAAGGGCTTCGATTGATGGATATATTGGT